ACTAGTAAGACTCGTCCCTGGGAACATCACCCCATGACAGCAATTTCACGTACAGCACAAGGGCTTTTGGGGATCCAGTGGTGGTTCATTTTCCCCCTAGTTATGTGGCCCCCCTCATCCACACAGTCCCATCCCTGACCGCTTCACTCCCAGAAACACCAACCCCTCTCTGTCACCGTGTGAGGATGCCTGTGTGTCACATCTGCTCTACCGAGGGGCCTTGCCGCTGCAGGAGCAGGGAGGCTGAGCAGCAGCGCTGCTCTGACCAGAGAACAGGAAGGGCTGAAACAGGGATACAGCAGGACCAGGGGTCGTAGAGGACAAAACGAACATTGCAGATAGTAAAGCACTGTGGTAGAATTGGTGTCTTACGATTTTGAGATGAGCAAATTGCCTGTCGTTATTAACTCATCTGCGAATGTTCTTTCTGATACAAGGTTAAGAGAAAAATGGAAGTTGGAAACTATATCTGCTGCCACTTCTTAAATGCTTTTATAGGAAGGAATGCATTTCTAATCTAGAGATGTGACTATCCATGTGACTAACTTTAGTTAATGACAGTGATGACGTGCAAGAGGCTGCAATCACAGTATGGTTGTAAGAGGCTCTTGTTCTTGAGGTAACCGTTGGGAGCAATTTCTTTCATCCTTCATCTCTTGATTAACTCTTTAAGCGTGGAAGGGAGGTGCTGGAGCACCTGTGTTTTGAAGCGTTAAATTTGGAAGACCAGATCTGTTTCTGTTATGAACTAGTGGCTGCTTAGACTCTGTAAAGTGTTGCATGGTAGATCCTACTGGCTGCTGTTGTCTTAGTAGACACCATCAGAGCTGAGCTATTTTGTTTCAGCAAAGGGCTAATGGTTAGCTTTTGTCCCCTTGTCTGGTAAGCAAAAGTAGTGGTCAGAGAGACTTCAAGAATGAAAAGAGGACATCAGTGGTAAAAGCGCTGGCCCCAGTATGGTTCCTCCATTGGAGAGAGTTGTTATATATTGGTATATTGCTATAAACACATATCGTTTTAGCTGATGCAGTAAAACATGTTAGAGAACTTAATCAGTTAACATAACTGGACTAACCATGAGCATTGCTGTGTGTAGGAGCTGTCCAAGGTGCAAGGTTAAGCTATTTCCTCATGACTAATTTGGTTTTAGAAAAAGCTCTGATGTGACAGTCTGAGTGGTGGTGTTTTATGCTTTGACATCTCTTGTTCCACTGAACTCTTGGGATCATTTATCTTTCTTTATTTTAGTGCAAATTGGATTTGAAGCTCTCAGATTTCATTCATACACTATTAGGTTGTATTCTCTCTACTCTCAAGCAGAGAACAAATCGTAGGTTTCAGTTCAATTATTGAAACTAACTTGATTTTAAAATAGATGCTTTATTCCTTTGTTTTAAATTTTAGTAGTCTTAGTCACTTTAGATGCAAGTAATTCTGACCGTACACAACTTACTGCTTTGTGGCAGTTTTTATCGAGGACTCGACGTGGCTTTGCTATTGATTTCAGGTATATGTCACAAGGGAAACATGCAGAAGCAAGAGAGCTAATGTATTCAGGGGCGTTGCTGTTCTTCAGTCATAGCCAGGTAAGTCACTGTTCCTGTGTATGTGCTTTTGGGATGGTTGTTGTTCAAAGAGTTTAAGGGGCGAATGGTAAATTCTCAGTGGTCTATGTTTGGGGGAATTGCTCTGTAACCTTTCATCTACCTGTTGAGTCTTTCTGCACAAAGAGGTATTTTGCTAAACTGGAACATAATGCAGAAATGTTTGTGTGTGTCCGAACGATAATCTTAGCCACATTTGTTTTGCTTTCCTGGAGGCTTCTCTTTTGATACCACCAAATTGTAGTTACTTTTTATAAGGGAGGATTGAGGTTTGGTGATGTGCCTTATGTGTGCTATTGATAAAAGTATAATCTGCTTCTGACAAAATTCTGCTTGAGGAACAAAACTTGTCTTTATTTTTTTTTTTTAACTTTTTTTTTATTCAATGATATCTTCATCGCTACCAGTGTATGTCTGTTTTGTAGCAAAATAGCGCTGCTGATCTGTCCATGCTGGTTTTGGAGTCTTTGGAGAAATCAGATGCAAAAGTAACAGATGACCTTTTAGGTGAGATGACCTTTGCGTTTGGCTTGATGGTATTTAAGATTTCAGTTCAAAATACTTATGAGGTTGTTAACAGTCTTCAAACCTGATTTTGTGTGTGCGCGCTGTGGTCTCCCACATGGCTAACATAATCGTAGAAAAGAACTGGGCAAAATTATCAGAAAGTAATGGATTCCTGGTAACCAACAGTATTCTGAGCACAGGGGCTGGCTTAGAACAAACATTGCTGTCTTGTGGCATCATCCTTTCCTCAACAGAGGAGTGATTATATGGTCTGCACAGCCAGTGATGTCTCCAGGGCTTTGGTGGATGGCACTTTCTCTTTCCAGCAATGCGATGGTGTGCGCATTGTTTGCAAATCAGCCATTCACAAGGAAGTTTTACCTGTTGGACTGTCAGATTCAGTAAACAGACAGGTCAGGAAAACCTTCTTAAGAGCTGCTGCAGCATGGATGAACCACTGTTGGTAGCAGCCTGTGGGTGGGGACAGAGGGCTGGGACAGAGGCGTACTTTGTTTACTTAGACTGGCTCTCATATTCTGGATCACATCTAGTGAGTTCTGATGGTCCTTTCCTGAGCTACGGGCTTCTGTGCCTCGTGGCTTCGCTATGAATGCCAAGCACTCCTGTAACTTGAAGTCTTTCCTCCTCCTTTGGACTGCGTGATGCTTGGGGATACTCTTATCCCAAACCATGAGATGGGGAGCTGTTGCCATGCCGACTGCAAGGCGGAGCTTTTGGCTGTGGAGTACTGCTGACTGATAGATGCAAGATTGACTCGACATATGAGAAGTGGCTCATGTTCAAAGGCACTGTTTTTTAAGATGTCTTGTGAAGGCTAATTAGGGAACTTCAGTATATTATAGCACTGTATCTTAAATGTCTTGTCTTAAAGATGCACTAGAAGCAGGAGGTCACTCTATTTCTATTAACGTTAAATATTTGTGAATATTATTGCTTCCAGAAAACTTGGCTAAATTGTTTAGTTTAATGGATCCAAATTCTCCGGAAAGAGTGGCTTTTGTATCCAGAGCACTGAAATGGTCTAGCGGAGGATCAGGAAAACTCGGTCATCCAAAACTACACCAGTTACTAGCAATTACCTTGTGGAAAGGTAAGAACAATTAACTGGATTTTTTTTTTTTTTCTTTTTAATATTGTCAGCTACTTTGGAAATAATTCAAGGAAGCAAGGACAGAAATGAATTATTTATTTCTGCTGTTACATCATTTTTTGCAGTAACTTCAGCTTTATGTTACTAACAAAATTATATAGGCCTGTAACTCTGTACTGGTGCAAAACCCCAAATACAGGAGACCTCTCGATAAAAGCAAAGTTGATCCTTTAGAAATTCGGGTAGCTTGATAAGGTGTCGTTAGGAAGAAAACTATTGGAGAGCAAGGCTGTTGTATTATTTTGTTTTGTTTCCTTTTTAAATCCTGGTTAAACTTGCAAAAGACTGAAATATATCACTTAGCATCTGAAACAGTCTTTGGGTCTGTAATTAGATACTTATGACACATTGACGGACAAACTTATTTCAGGCATTTTAGAACGAAAGCTGTTGCTTTCGATTTATTTGGAGTTTTATCACTAGGATGTAGGATGGGCTAAAAGGAGCTAAAGTGTTTTAATTGCACAGTCTTTAACAGGTTAATGCTCAAACAAACAAAGGTGAGTGAGAACAGTTGAATAAATGCTCTCTCTTTTGTGGTTTCTCATGAATTAGTAACAGCGCAAGGTTCATTTAAGTTTTTCAGTAGCTGTAAAGTCACCGATCAGGGTATCATATCATAATCCTGACCCAGTGGTCAACAGTCCAATTCATTGCCTTTTTGTGTGCCATATGCGGTCCCGTAACTGTTCTCATGTGCGTTTCATTAGCTTTTGGTGGCTGCTACCAGCCAAAAAGGGAGGGTTTTCTGCAGAGCATTAAAGTTTGAAAATGAGAAAGAAACAGTCGAGTTTTGAAAGTAAAAATCCATGTTTTCTGGCTGGCTGCTTGCCATTCTTTTGAAGAACAAAACATTTATGTTTGCTTAGTTTTTTGTTTTCCACAGCTTCCTCAGAAGTGACTCAGAGTTTTAAAACAAGAGCTTTTATATTCCAAAAATTAGCAGCTTTCCAGTTTTGATTTGCCATTACTGTGGGTTTGCAAGATACTGTGCCTCAAATTAAGTTCTAACCAACCTTTTTCATTTCTTATGCCTTTTTCCCTACATCATTGCCATTCTATTCAGCAAATGGAAGTAATTTTACTTTTGATAGCAAGAGTGGGCTAAGCTAAAAATAGGAGATCCTTCTTTCTAAGTGCAGAGAAAGAAGATATGCTGAAGGTGCTGTTTGATTTCTTGGTGCACATGCTTAAATAGGGAACTTCTCGGTTCCTCTTCTAAGGGCTGATGATAGCATGTTAATGCCAGGATACTGTTGAACAAAATGATATGACTGCTGCACAAGGTAGCTGTTTGTCCCAGTGGTAGCCTTGTTCTTTGGTGACACTGAATGAAATGTTTTTAATAGCACTGATTCAAATATATGTAGAATAATGTATTTATTATCTACCTTTATAAGCTGTCTGTTACTTACAAAAGAAAAAGGCCACTGCTAGTCATGTTGTTTATCTACCGTGTGTGTAGCTCTTACTCTTTTTCTAGCTGTAATGTACAAGCCTAGCAAATGTGCGTTTTAAGTATGTTGAACTGATTTCTTAAAAGCCATTTTCTTTTTCCTTTTGTAGAGCAAAACTATAGTGAATCTCGGTATCACTTCTTGCACTCTACAGATGGCGAAGGATGTGCAAATATGCTAGTAGAATACTCCTCGTCCAGAGGATATCGCAGTGAGGTGGACATGTTTGTAGCACAGGCGGTCCTACAGTAGGTGTTATAATATTATTTGACTGTTTTGCTGAGATGTCATTGTATTTGAGGCCAACCTAATTTAATCAGGATAACTGTAGGATGACTGCCCGTGCTTTTCAAAAGAAATTGTGAAACTGGCCAAAGTTTCTAGAAGTAATTTTATATGATAACAACAGGAGCAGACTGTCTCAGAACTGGTGTGCTGAATTGGTGTCAGATTAAAAAAAAAAAAAAAATTGTATTAAGGTTGAAATGTGAAATCATGTTAATGGCTTAAAGAGTTTATGTAGTCTGTGTGACCTTGAAAGCATGATTCTTATGTTTTTATTAACACTAACTTACAACTGGTTGGGATTTGCCTAGATGACCTTACCTAGACTGGGGCTAAGTGGGCTTTATATTTGCCTTTAGCCTAGTACTTACTGTCAGTCCCGTGGTCTTAAGAGACAGTTACTCTTGGGTCACCCTGGTTTATGAGCAGCAATGTGATGGTGCTTGGTTTAACAGTTGCTGGTGGCTTTCACTTGCTTTGCGCGTTTATTTTGTAGGAGGTGGGAATGCAAGCTATTATGTGCATTTGCAGAGCGCGTGTACAATTAAGGTTAACAAAACCAATTTTACTGTAATTAATCATTGATGGTGGCTTTCTTCAGTCAAGGAAAGCAGCTTATGGAGGAGTCTGTGGAGGAGGTGGAGACAGGGCTGTGCAGCAGGGAATCAGGGAGAGAAGTGGGGGAGAGTAAGTGTTGGGGGAGAGGGAGGAGGTGAGAGCAAGTCTGTCTCTCTTCTGGCAGCAGTGAGCTGTCAGATTAGTCTGGACTGCAGTGATTCTTGAGAGGCAGAAAATCCTTTGTAGGAGACCAGTGTATGCAGGACTGATGGGGCTCTTAAACAATTCTGTAGGGCTTTGTTTTGCGGAGGAAAAAATTTCTAGTGAGAGCTTATGGGTATGGGATTATTTTCTCCAGTAGTTACACAGAAACGCTACTACATCCTTTACTGGCCTGTATCTCAAATACCGTGCTAAATCCTGTTACATCACAGTTTATGATCTAATGAAAAGCATTGTAATTCCTTGCTCAGCAGTAAGGCAAAAGAATCCCTGCTCCCTGCACATGTGAGGGTTTGGCTTTGGAGGCCAGCTTGTGACCAAAAATGAGACTGCTCGTGGCAGTCTTCCCAGTACTTGCTGACAGCATTTGTCCCAGACAGTCCGTGTTAGGCCTGTGGACTTGCAAAGATTACCCAGTTAAATTAACTGGATCTGAACAAAGATTTGACCAATGTGGGAAACTGATATGTTAACAGCTGACGAATCACTCAGGAAGCCAATGCATATTTTTTTTTGTGAGACTTTCAGACTTGTGTATCAAAGTCTAAATTAGTGGCCCTGATGCCATGTTGTTTTGGGGTGACAGCAAGAGAACGGCAGGGTCACTGGACACTGACAGATGCATACTGAAAGGAGATGTATTTGGGAGTGGATGGGGCCAGGTGAGAAATTTTTGACTAGGTTTTTACCTCAGTGTGGTAAGCTCTGGACCGGTAAAGGTAACGTCTCATTTAATTTGAATCACGTGGCAGCCAGTCTTTCCACACTTTTATTTGATGCCCTCTTTCAGTAACCTTCCTGTATATGATTTGCTTAGGTTTAACTCATTCTGTTAATATTTAATGTCATTTCCTCCCCAAGCTGCTTATACCACAAACTAGCTAAATAGTGATTTTCATATCCTCAGTTGATTACCAAACAGTTGCGAGAGATGTACATCTCTACCAGTTAGTTTCTGCTATCAGTTTAAGCCTGAGAAGGCTTCTATGCACAAATGTAGTAGTGACTGAGCATTTGGTTTCCCCTTTTTTTCCTGCATGTAAAATTTCTTCTCTGTATTTTAACTTCCTCCGTTCTGCTTCCCTTTACAGATTTCTCTGCTTAAAAAATAAGACCAGTGCATCAGTTGTTTTTACGACATACACACAGAAACATCCGTCAATAGAAAAGGGTCCGCCCTTTGTTCAACCACTTCTAAACTTCATCTGGTTTCTGTTATTGGCCGTTGATGGGTACAGTATGATTTTTGTTACTTTGTTCTTAGTTACCTTTTCATCCGTTATTGAGATTACATTTTGTGTTGTTTCCTTTCTAGAGGAAAACTAACAGTATTTACAGTATTGTGTGAACAGTATCAACCCTCGCTGAAAAGAGATCCCATGTATAATGAGGTGAGTTACTAGTAGTTGTGAACAGAATTTAACCTGCAGAATTAGTTAAATAAAAGCTGATTGTCTTCGGTTTTGTGACTTTGCAAACCTGGCAGGTCACAGTCTGCAGAGTCTGGCTGCCACAGCCACCAAAGTGTACTTTTTTTTAGGGGCTTCCTCAAAGTAGTTAGATACTGACTTGATACTTTATACAGTATATTTGGAAGAGTGCCCTTTAGGAGCAGGATGGCAATTCATAACTATTGCACATGCAACATTTTAATTTTCCTTGACATGTTGTTTCAAAAGTAAAGTTTTTGAAGACAGCTTGTAGAGAGGGGTCAGTGCCCCAGCTTGTGCAGTTTGATTGCTGTCCAGAGGCTTTCCACCGGTAAACGAAGTAGTTGACATCATTCTCCATCCTGTGTCATTTCAGTACCTAGATAGAATAGGACAGCTTTTCTTTGGAGTTCCACCCAAGCAGACATCGTCCTACGGAGGATTACTAGGTAAGTTTTATGTTGGCGAGTGTTTAAAGACACTACCAGTCTTTTCAGAGTGGTGGCTTACATGAGACAGATGTGCCAGAAACAGATGATTTGTTCTAACGAGTATATTGTATTTTTTTCCCGTGGCCTGTAGAAACAGTCACTGCTATAGAATACAAGATGAATTGGTTGGATATGAGATTAAAGTGCTGTAGCTAGTAGACTTTTCATTTTTGAGAAGGGAAGAAACATATAAAGTACTCTTGCAGTTCATTTTGACGTTCTGGTAAAGCTTATAACTGTAAAGCAAAACCTTATTTGTGCTAAAACTTAATTTGCTCTGACTTCAGTGGCTGCTTTTCCTAAAGTAAAATCTGGGACTTTGGTATAGGTCTAACTGGTGTTGATGTAAAATGAGCGCTCTCAAAGTTGATGTTTTGAAATTAATACTACCTTTCTACAAGAAAGGAAAAGTAATAGAGAAATTCAGCCCTTGTTTCCTGGCTCTTTGAAGAACATGAGAAAGGAAGAGATTGAACTGAATTACTGTTGTAAAATCTAATGTTTTTCCTTGAGAGCTAAGCTCTTCCTTTGGTAAGCTGACTTGAAGCTTTACCTGCAAATGTCAGTTCACTGATACCCAAAATTTGATGAAAAACACGAGTATCATAGATCTCATGTACCAATAACAGCTTTTTAGAAATTCAGGCCTCTTTAAATTGAGCAAAGCAGGGAGGGTGCATAAATGCTTTTGTCTCAGACAAATTCTTTACAGTATCATGCACAGCAGTGTTACTGTTGAAGAGTTTCACCATGGGATGTGTCTCTTCATTTGTTCTCTC